TGATGTAGCACTTCATATCTGTTAGGATGGCTGTTATCAAAAAGACAAGAACTAGCAAATGTGGACGAGGGTGTGGAGGAAAGGGAACACTTGTGCAGTGTTGGTGGGAATGGAAATTGGTTCAGCCACCATGGAAAACAGTATGGAGGTGCTTCAAAAAATTACAAATAGGACTGCGATAGGATCTAGTCGTTCCACTTCTGGGTATTTATCTGAAAACAAAGACATTAATCGAAAAGACATATGCACCCCCATGTTTACTGTGGCATTATTTACAACAGCCAAGATAGGGAGACAACCTAAGTGTTCACTGATGGATGAATGGATGAAGAAGATGACACACACACACACACACACACACACACACACACACACACAACACAAAAGCAAAGAAGTGATATGCACCCCCATGTTTACTGTGGCATTATTTACAACAGCCAAGATAGGGAGACAACCTAAGTGTTCACTGATGGATGAATGGATGAAGAAGATGACACACACACACACACACACACACACACACACACACGCACACATCACAAAGGCCAAGAAGTGTCAAATCACAAGAGCAATCAAAAAAGAAGAGAAAAACGAAACCATGCTGGGAAGGAAAGATGAGACGATTAGTGGTGCTTGTAGCAACCGAGATGGATAGATGTCGGGGAGGTCCGAACGCAGCAAAAGCAGATAAATGGTGTCACCATCATGGCTGCCTCTGAAGACAATGGCAGATGCACCATCATGGGGGTGTGGTGTTGAGACTGGGAAAGAGACCCTGGGAACTGCAGTCGTCCTTAAAGTGCTACCTTTTCACATGCTAAACACTCATCTGGGAATATAGCCCGAGTAGCCCATTCGCTGCTCTGCTTTTGCGTATTTAAAACAGCATGCACACATTTGTTTCCCCGGATCTCGTCATATCAGTGGTTCTTACCGGGATTAGTAGGCCTGGTATGTTGAGATTTCCTCTAACTGCTTGTTGCTTCCTTTGATACTTTGTGTTCCTTCCCAGCAGAAGGAAATACAGCCATGCATAGTATTACCACCCATTTTACAGGAGTGGGGAAGTCAAGGTGAGGGTTAAGCAGCTTCTGCAAGGACTGAAGGGGAGGAGGGTTTCAAGTGTCGCTTAGAAGCCAGGAGTTTGGTGTTTTTATAGAGAAAAAGTAAGATGGCTAATTGAGCCGGCTTTCTGAATTTAACTTTTTTAATGCTGGATTCTACACTTAAGTACATTAAATCTTTCAAGTATTATCTATATCGGTACCAGCTAATCTACCTTTCGCTCTATAATGGATGGCTGAGCCAGCCTCTCCTTTTAAGAAAATCCTTGATGTATTAGGTCGTTAAAACAAATTCTAACATTTGGTGCTCATTAGTGTTGTAACCGAAACAAAAACATTTTAATGGCTGATCCCAGAATATTTTGAAGTTAGTGTAACTTTGCTGGAAAGGTATTTAAGCTACGGTATCAGTTGCAAGTAGGCCATGAGCCAATTTTCAAAGCTGTTTCTAAGTAAGACATTGAGTTTTTCAGAATGCAGAAAACTACATTATGTGGCACCATGCCATGACGCAGAGCAACAGAATGAAACAATTACAATGGGTTTTGTATCGATAATTGTATTTCTAAGTGAGTAGTTTAAGGTATTATGAAACAGAGTTTAGAATAACTCCCCAGTGTGTACAGCAGTTGCTTTATTTTAATTGTAGACCATGAAAGAGTTGTTTTGAATATAAAGAAGGACGGGAATAGCCAGATGACAAAAATTCAAACTCAGTATTCAAGTCTTTAACCCATTTTTTAATTGGGTTGTCTTCTTGTTATTGAATTTTAAGAGTTCTTTATATGTTCTGGATAGAAGTCCTTTGGTGGCTCTGTGTATTTTGAATATTTCCTCCAGTGTATGGCTTGCCTTTTCATTTTCTTGGTGGTGTTTTGGGAGGGCATACATTTTTATTTTGATATTTAGTTTATCAGTTATTCTTACATGGTTCATGCTTTTTGTACCTTGTCTAAGAAATCTTTGCCCAGCCTAGTTAAGGTCTTAAAGATTTCATCCTAGATTTTTTTTTAGAAATTTTATACTTTCTAGCTTTTACTTTTATGTCTATAATCCATTTTGAGTTTTTTTTGGTGCACATTGAGTATGATGTGTGTGTGTGTGTGTGTGTGTGTGTGGTCAGTAGAAACCCATTGAAAATGTTTGTACGTGGACAAACATTTAGTGACAGTGTAAAGATTGCAACCAAGAGTAAAAACATGGTGTGAGTTGATAATAACCCGAACTAGGAGAGCAGGGAAGAGGAGAGATTTGATGGCATTTTAGAGACAGAATAAATTGGATGGGGAGCGAGCATGAATTGGATGGGGAGCAAAGATGAGGCTAAGGCTTATGGTTCCAGGAAATAGTATGGTCTGTGGCCAGGACTGGAATATAGGACAAGGAAAAGGAAAAGATTTATGATGAATGGAGAAGAGCTCTGTTCTCACACTCTTGACTCATGTGACAGCAGGGCATTTAGTCCTTGTCCCTATGCACACATGTTGGGGCATAACCAGATTCTTAGTGAAAACACTTCTTTTTATTAACCCACTGTAACCTATTTTCTATGTTGTTATATAGTCTCCATTCTGGTATTTTTTTTATAGCTTAACAATATTATAGTTTTGTAATAAAGCTACGATATATTTGCTATATAAAAGAATTATCTTGTAAAAAGAAATAAATGATGCCACCAAAATGGTTTCCACTGTACTTCCCTCCTATTTCCATCACAGCATAACCACTTAGAAGGATATTCTTTCATTCTTTGTCTAGATATGCAGACATCTCACATCATACTTTTCATGCAAGTAAGATGGTATTATCCTTATTTATTTTATTTTTTAAAATATATTTTTATTGATTTCAGGGAGGAAGGAAGAGGGAGAGAGAGATAGAAACATCAGTGATGAGAGAGACTCACTGATCAGTTGCTTCCTGCACGCCCCCTACTGGAGATTGAGCCTGCAACCTGGGCATGTGCCCTTGACCAGAATCTAACCCGGGACCCTTCAGCAGGCTGACACTCTGTCCACTGAGCCAAACCAGCTAGGGCTAGACCTTCTAATTTTTATACTGTGCTTATAGAATGGCAAGAGCTGATATTCTTTATGTATAGATAAATTATGTGAAGAAATGCAACCAAGATTAGATGATAGTTATTTAGAATTGTAGGTGTTCAAGATTACAGCCTCTTTATAGGCAGAGATTATGTCTTATTTCATTTAACAAGTGTTTTTTTTTTCATTTAACAAGTATTTATTGAGCACTGCGGTGTGCCAGTTGCTGAGCACAGAGCAGAACACAACTTCTACCTTGAGCCCTCGAACAGCTCATATCTAATGGGGAAACAGACATGTAAAGAAATAAATATAAATAGTGTGAAAAATACATATGTTTATATACACCAATGTTTTTAGTTGTTTACTGCTGCTGTGGAAATATTTATATCAGAACAGCACACATTCACTGAGACATTTTCCTAAACATATGGACGGGATGATGAGAATACTTAAATAGTGTTTTTATGCTAACTTCCTGGGAACTATATTTCAAAGTACTTATTTGTCCCCCCACCTCCTACCCTCAAATTCTTATATGATACCCATCACAAAGAAGGCAAAAGGCCACATTTTTGGAATGCTTCTTTTGTATGTTTTCTGCTTTGCAAGATGTTAACTCTGTATTCCACGTTGAATCCTGAATAGGCACTGCATACACGCTACATATTAATGAAATGATGGTAGTTTCGGACCTCGTGCTAATATTGTTTTCTCTCACTGCTTCCTCTAGTTCTGTGACTCAAATCATGTAATTAATTTGTATTTTCATAAGGTAAATCAATGCAGTTTAAAACCCAGGCGTCTGTTCTCTATATGTTCCGCACCTGTGACACGATGATTTCAACCATTCACTTATAAAAGAGAAACACATTGTCAGGGGGCACCCCGGCTTTGAAGCATGCTTTCTATTTTTCGCTTGGTAACCATGTGAAAAATACCAATTACTGAAATTCTGAGAAGAATGAAGTTACTTGTAAACCTAGTATTCATACCAAGAAGGCTCTCTAAATCAAAACCATCCCGGGATGCAATAGATCAAATCTGTGGAGCATAAACCTTTCAAGATCAATGTCGCTGAAAAAGTATCCGTGATTGGGGAAGGCAGCTTTAACAAAACAGTATTGTTACAAACAAGAAAAGTGAGACAGCTGGCGGCCAGTCTGACAAACACGTACCATGCAGGGAAGCCACGCAATTCAAAGACCTCGGTGCGTGATCTGGGTGAATGCCAGTGGACTGTTACAGGTCATACTTCTTTTCTTTTTTTATAATTTTAACTTAATTTTTAATACATGTTTTTATTGATTTCAGAGAGGAAGGGATAGGGAGAGGGAGATAGAAGCATCAATGATGAGAGACAGTCATCGATCAGCTGCCTCCTGCACGCCCTCAACTGAGGATTGAGCCTGCAACCCAGGCATGTGCCCTGACCAGGAATCAAACTGTGACCTCCTGGCTCATGAGTCAACCCTCAACCACTGAGCCACACCGGCCAGGCATACAGGCCATATTTCTAGTACATTTTTGTTATTATTTTAAAGCATATGAAATCTTTTGAATGGAATTTCCAGAAATTAAAAACATACATAAAAGTACCATTTCAGTTGGAATGAAAATCATGACACACAATGTTATATGTCAGTTCCATCTCAGCAAAACTGGAAAGTAAAATCCTGAGCATTTCAGATCTTGAGGAGAATAATCTAGATTCTGGTTCAGTGTCTGTTAAGACAGATAATGTATTCTATGCAGCATCACTTTTCATTATTAGAAAATTGTCTTCCGGAGGAGTACAGATATGAGCGGTCTAGAGCTGCGTCTCAGAGTCAGGAAGACAGGTAGGGGGCATGGCTGTAAGGACTCCGGGGCTGGCGTTGGGATCAAACAGCAGGTCTCTGTTTAAATCCCAGCCCCGTCACTGGCTAGCCTACTGAACAGCAGACTCAGTCTTTCTGTGCCCGTTTCTTGAGCTGTGGAACATACAAGATAGGACTTATACATTGAAGATGTGTAAGCTTTAATTACATGAAACATGCTGAGCATATCATGAGCACACGAGCAGCACTGAGTAAACGCGGGCGGTCAAGGTCAGTGAGAGCAGACCTTCACCCCTCGTGTGCTTTCCCTCCATCTTCCTTTACTCCTCTGCTTGCTTTTATTTTCCCTTTTCTCTATTTTTTAAAAAAATATATTTTATTGATTTTTTACAGGGAGGAAGGGAGAGGGATAGAGAGTTAGAAACATCGATGAGAGAGAAACATCGATCAGCTGCCTCCTGCACACCCCCTACTGGGGATGTGCCCGCAACCAAGGTACATGCCCTTGACCAGAATCGAACCTGGGACTCTTCAGTCCACAGGCTGACGCTCTAGCCACTGAGCCAAACTGGTCAGGGCTCCTTTTTCTCTTTAGTTTTCTAATCTTCCCACCCTTTCTCTCTTTTAACTCTCTTTCCCCCCAAGTTTTTATTAGCTCTAAGTATTTCCCAATTCCTGTTATTTTGTTTGGCAGGCTCCGTGGCCATCCTTTCCTTTCCCTTCGTAGGCTTGAATCTCTGCCTCCGGGCCTCTTCACCTGAGACCTTTGAATGCCCTTCAGAGACCTGAAGAACCCCTGACACTGAACACAAAATGTGATGAGGGGAAGGTTCCATAGTTCTTTCCCTGCTTTCGGAGGATTTCACGCTTTCTCCAAGGTTAAGAACCATTGACCGATGGGCTGTAACTACCCTCCCTCCCAGATGGGTCTCTTCACCAGTTGCCTCGTTGGTATGAGGGGACCTCTTTAGACGTGGGAAGATCTCATCACTCTGCTATCTAGACTCGGAGAGCGTGGGAGATCTGTACCATAGTATTCTAAAGGCATTGAATTCCCAGGTAACTCATCAGCTATTGCCGTATTGTGTTGTGCTTTACTATTTGTATAACAGCTTTGTTTTGCAAAATGTTACTGGTTTTAGAGAAACAACATTATGCATTCCATATGGCCAGCTCCATTTCAACCAAAGTAGACATTTCTCATTGTAATTTCTTTTCCATTTCTGTATGATACAGCCCAGCCAACTTGGAAACAAAGCATCCAATATTTTAGAAATCAGTTGTCTAGTGAGAAACCAATGAATTTGGAATGAGTTATAAATTCATTAGCGAAAATTCCAGATTGACAGCATTTGGGGTTTCTCTGAAGCCTTTGAAGGCAGGCATGTCAACGATAACAAAACAGTAACGTGGACTTGGGGGAGTTTTTTTCGACTTGGCCAAAGAGCCCAAGTTGTTTTCTTAACTAAAAATCATCATTCACATGAGTCATCCTGACAGCCTGAAAAATTTCAAACTCCTCTAGGAAAAGAAGATACCCAAGAAGCACATTCTTCACACGTCCTACCATGTGCAAAAGTCTAGAGGAGAAAAACATCCCTTTGAAAAGAGCGCCGCTTTCATCTCTGCCCTGATAACTCTGGGCATAAAAATAAAACGCCCATTTTCAAGGGCGTGGATTCCACCGGGGAGTAATCAGACCAAATTACCCAACAGACCCCTTACCTCCTCACCACCCCACATACATAAAAAAATACGGGTAGTCAATCCTGCTTACTTAGTGTGTGGAGCTTAGCCAACACAGCACTATATATATATTTTTTAAATATAATTTATTGATTTTTTTTTTACAGAGAGGAAGGGAGAGGGATAGAGAGTTAGAAACATTGATGAGAGAGAAACATCGATCAGCTGCCTCCTGTCAATCCTGCTTACTTAGTGTGTGGAGCTTAGCCAACACAGCACTATATATATATTTTTTAAATATAATTTATTGATTTTTTTTTTACAGAGAGGAAGGGAGAGGGATAGAGAGTTAGAAACATTGATTCAGCTGCCTCCTGCACACTCCCCACTGGGGATGTGCCCGCAACCAAGGTACATGCCCTTGACCGGAATCGAACCTGAGACCCTTCAGTCCGCAGGCCGATGCTCTATCCACTGAGCCAAACTGGTTAGGGCACCATATACATATTTATCAAAAATAAACTGAGTACCTAGCATGTGCTCTGGGTGTACAATGGTGAACATGACACTTGAGGTCCTTGCCCTTGAGAAAAACATAAATACACATACACACACACATAAATACATCTACACACATATGTATATATACATACACATACGTATGCACACGTATAGTGTGTGTGTTCCTATACTGATAGTGGTAAGTGCAGTGAAGAAATGGATAGGGCCCGAGGAAGGGTGAGTTTTGCTTTAGAATGCCATCCACACCCGGCCAGGGTGGCTCAGTTGGTTTGAGTGTCGTCCCCTGCACCAAGAGGCTGCAGGTTCCATTCCTGGCCAGGGTACAAGCCCTGGTTGCAGACTCGATCCCCAGTAGGGGGCGTGCAGGAGGCTGCCAATCGATGTTTCTCTCTCATCATTGATGTTTCTATCTCTCCCTCTCTCTTCCTCTCTCTCTATAATAAAAAACATACATTAAAAAAAAACTTTTCCTAAGAAGAGAGGGGTCGCTGCCCACCCTCTTTCCCTTATAACTAGGGATCTACTACTAGAGACAAAGCAAAACAACAACAACTTGAAAACAGTGAACCCATTCTTGCTTCTGTGCCAGAGGACCTTCCTGAGTAAGGGGGTTAGTGTACCCGTCGGGAGGGTTTCCTTGTATGACAAGGAGCCTCATCAGAACCCTCTCACCGGCTCCCCTGTTCTTTCCTCCTACCATCCCTCCTGTGCCCTCTCCTCGTAGGCAGGGAAGTGGGGAAAAGAAACAGGACACGAGTCCCACAGCGTATTTATGTGTGTGCGTATGTGTATTTATGTTTTTATGTGTGTGTGTGTGTATGTGTATTTATGTTTTTCTCAAGGGCAAGGAATTGCAGAAGACCTGTTAGCAATGGCAGATTTAAGCAATTAGTTAATATTCAAAAGCCCTGAAAGTTCTGTTCCTAAATCTTCTAACCCAATGGAAAAGTGCATTATGCTCATTAAGAAGGATATACGGGGAAGTAACCAACACACTGAACTGTTTAGAAAGCAGCATATTTTAGTTAATAATGAGTCGTAACCTTTACAGGGTTAGCACATGGAAATCGTTACTGTGCACCAGCAGATAGAGCCACGGCACCATACCTCTTAAGTCAAGGACTAAGTCTTCATTCATTATGCCAGGGCGCTCTGCCCTTCCCAGTTAATCTCATTCGCCTGCTCGCTGTTTTCCATGCTTAAAGAAGCGAAATGTAAAGGGATCGCTGGCTTAATTTTGCCGCGAGAAATGCTTCCTCCCTTTTATTTCTACCCTTGGAAGAGTTTTGACTGTTTCAAGTTTTGCATACGGTTAAGAGGACCACAGTTTTTAAGCTCTGGAGGTATGCGATTTGAAGGCTCCCTACCTAATGTGACTGGAATTTTTCTCCAATTATAGAAGAGGCAGACCATCGTTCTCCAGTTTCCAAAAAGGAATGCAGCTGCTTGCAAGAGGTCTAAACTAACAGGACATTTAATATTTTGAAAAATATGTCCTGGGGGGGAAAGACTTTTCTGTTCAAAAAGATATTAAATTATTTAGCTTGGCAGCTCCAAGATGTGAATATTTTGAGCCCCGTGGATGTCACTGATGTTTTATCGAGTTCAAATGGGAGCATTGAACACTTTATTCTTTATTCACACCGTCTTTTATTAGATCTCACATGTAGACCTTGGGCTGCAACTGCCTGCAGGTCCTGTGATCTGCACGGGCGCATTCTGCTTCCAGGGGATCCGTGTTTAATTTTCCAAATTCCCAGCAAATAGCAGCGCTGCCGCCTAAATCCCTCCACCGAGATTCCTTCCGGCCCAGATGCAACTAATAGTTGCAGGCTGCGTGGCTGTCATTCATGACTAATCCAGGTAGGGCTGCTCACTGTTTTTAATTTTCTTGGT